CCCCCCCCCCCCCCCCCGGGAGACAACGTAACTCGCTTTTGGTTTCACAAGGCAACGACTAGTAAGTAATATAGTAAACAAACTTTCGGAAAAGAATTTGCTGGCTTGTACACACCCTAAGCCGCAATCAGAAAATTCTTGGTATCGCGAGTCATGTATAAACAGAAAAATGACAATTTGTAGCAGGCATGATCGTGCTAGAAATTGGCTTATCTTATCAGGGATATAAACTTCTGTCTTTGCTAATTGCTTCCGAACCTTTGCGATTTCCTTTGTTGCTAAGCTAAGCATCTGTTTTCATGTTAGTTCGGAGATTTTGATGGTAAAGACGCTATTCCTAGCTTGCCCGGACGGCCGGACCCTGCAGCCTAGTCCATGATATCTATTTGAATTCAGATTTGTTGTCGAAGCTTGGTACAAGAGGGAAATTAATTTTATGAGTAAGCTCAAACTGAAGTTAATTAAGTGGCGTGCAGAGCCTGGGGATAGTTCCCTTTTGCATGAATGATGTTAGTAATACGTAGTATATCAGCTAGATCTCTCAGTTTTACATCTTTGAGTCAGACTAAGATGGCTGGCACACAGCCGAATCACGTTCAAGCAGAATTTTCGTGCACGAGTTTTTACCAACGGATGTCGATGGAACTATGACCTTCAGATACAGTTAGAGATTTAATCTCCACAGTCTTTGAGTGGCGGATCGGTTGAAAGTGGCTCGAAAGCTCGGAAGCGTAAGATTTTACTCTGAGTGTTAATGGCAAGATAGCAGCTGCTGACTGCCAAAGTGTAATTAAGATTTTTTAAACCCACTCCATATTCACATACCATTATGTTAAGAATTTCTGTAAAAAGGAAATGTCAAACAAAATGTGGCTTTCTATATCCATGATTTTCCGACAGGTCCAATAAAATCGCCGCAAAGAAACAATTAAAACAGGTTTTTGCGTACATCGAACATTGGAACTTACACCTTTATATTGGACATTTCGCAGCCACAAGTCAGTTCTGATTGTTGCACCTTCACGCTCATGTCCGGACACTACATCTCCGCACTTTTGTTCAAGCCTCTTTAAAAGTCATAAAAGTTAGCAATACTTTATGTAACTCGTAAATACAGTATTCATAAATCAAAAGAACTCTCCAAAGAATATTCCAGTTTTAAGAAACAAAAGATTAGTGCAATACCTGAGAAATTTGTATTTAGTGTTTGCGGCGTTTGGCGTATCCACTACCAGCCACGCTCATTTGTCGCCTGAGGGAGAAATGTCAACAGATGAAATTCCGTGAAAAAAAAAAAAAAAAAAACTGAAATACGTGATTAAGTTATGTACAGTGTTGATCCTTTGACGCTCAGGCCGAAAAATTCACATATATTCTGTTTTAAACGTGTGCAAGAGAAACTTCAGCTTTCATGGAAACTATCGATGGCGGGGTAAAAGCTTTGTACATGTGAAAGTGTCGCTGTACGATGTTTCGTGTTACTCTCACGAGAAAAAAACTGAGATCGACATTTGTTTGTGATACAAGTTATGCTTTAAATAAAATTGTTTAATTAAGAAATAGTTCAAGTTTGTTAGGTTAAAACATTTCAAGAGGAAATGTAGTGTTACCGGAAAAGGGCCCGCCAGTAGGAAAAAATGGTATTGCTACGTAAATACCTCTCTTCTGTGAAATTGGATTAACTATAAGTAACATCCTTATAAGCTTTTAAGGAAAAGAAAACTCCGATAACATCGCCACAGGCCTTTCAAAAGCGACGCAAACTTCTGCTTTTCTGCTCTCAATTAGTGTGTTAACCTGAGAACACAACCGCCTCTGAAAGGCAACCGTCCGGAACGATTAATGGAAGAGAGAAAACTCGACCAATGTGAATACCAGAATTTCCTGTAGTGTCTGAGACTCCAGCAGATTTAAATGATCCTTATTCACGATTTGAGGTCGTTAGTGTCGTTCTCTAATGAAATGCACAGTACGTGAACGGAAATCAATAGATGATAAAATAATCCATTCCTTGACATGTTATGTTGGGTTGAATTTGAAAACGGAGTAGGAGTGTTTTTTTTTTTTTTTAGTTCGATCGTCTATAACAATCCACACTGCTGTTGCCTTTCTTCAGAAAATCAGATTTATTAACGTTATATTAAACTGAAGCAGATAATGCCTAAATATTTGGCTGCACGGGCGGACAACGAAATAAAGATGGCACACCAGTGACCTATTGCGCCAGAATTTAGCATGTAAAACAACACGTCCCCCTTTGCTGAGACAGTAGAAAAAGATCGTGACCAAAATTTTTAGAGTTATTTTACTTACAGCAAAAATATCACGTTGCTGTTTTTGTCGTAATCAGAAACTTATTGCTTTCGCTCTGGATTTACTCGCGTGTCATATTAATTACAGGCAAGTTCTCCTTCTTTCAGCGATAAGATCTCGTGGACAAAAAAGGTTATACGCCTTTTAATAGGTATCGATATATACTGACGTCTGCAAACCAAGTCGTAAACGCAATCTAATCAGAAAAGCGAACAGTTGCAAGTTGCAGCGAGCCATAGCTAGGCAGTCACATTTGGCAAAAATATGTTCGTGCAAAATAACTACTTCCTACGTCTCGAAATACGTGTAGCGCGAAGGTCAGACTTATTTTTAAGCCTTTTCTAGTAGACGTGGTCTACAGCTCTCAAATAGTATCCCGCTGTTTAATTTGATACAAAGATTCCAAAAAAAAATTCTGCGGTTACAGTTCAAGTAATCAATCAACGAAAGAGTTGCTAAAAATAGTGTTGGCCCTCCTCGCTATCAACGCCCACGGAAATGGAAAAAATACGCTTTTGATGACGAGCTTTGATTGGCTGGTTTAAAATGACGCTTGATTCCAGAAATACACAGCTCTTGCAAGTATTTAACAACTTTCACAACTGTTTCTTTCCACAGTGAACGCAACGTTCTGCAGTAGAGTTTTCAAGATGCCGTCGCGTTATTCCAAAAGAGAATCAAGCATGTTTGAAGAGGAATACGAGATTCAGAAGCTGATAGGCGAGGGATCCTTCGCAAAGGTTTATAAATGTTTAGAAAAGGAATCCGGGAACATTTACGCCGCGAAAGAATTACAGATTGGTAAAGAAGTTTCAGATATGGAAGCCATCAGAGAGGAAATGGAGATTTGGAAAGGTTTACAGCACGAAAACGTTGTGTCCCTACACAGAACATTTACGGATAACTCATGTTTTTATCTCGTGTGTGAATATCTGGATAGCGGAAGTTTATTTGACGAGATTGTGGGACAAAAGGTATACAGCGAGGAACAAGCGCGGTCCATTGTGAAACAGGTAAGAGCTTAATTCATCAACTTCTCTTGAATTTTTTTTTTTTTTGTATTCAATTTATTACACCAGCTTGGTATTTGAACCACTAAACCCTCAACCGATTTTTATTATAAACTCATATTCAAAGCTACGCGTTTTCTCGGGGAAACGAGAGAAACCAAACCGGATTTAAGGAAATTGTCCCTTTAGAATATTTTGAATAATCAAGTTTCAACCGAATCGGAAATTACGTTTAGTTTCTTTGATATTTTGGTGTGGAGATCAGTTCTGCTTCAATTTCACGGAAATGCACAACCCTCCTTGTCTCAAGTTGACGTCACTGTCATTTGACCATATCGTGACCTTTCAATTTTCATGCTATCAACATGCTATCAAAGCAGTGAGCTTTGCGCCAGATCTACAGTAGAACAGCATCTTAATAACCTTCTATTTCTCAAGGAATTTGCTACAAAAAACCCTTTCGACGAAAACGAAGTGTTGTGAAGGTATTAATATGGCGCGGGATAGACTACGAGCAGTCTCTCTTTCGCTTGGTCCGTCGAGCGAGACCGTAAATAAACCGCGATTTTCTTTCGCGTGACACATAAGTCCAAAATTAACCAGAATAAAATAGTTAATAAGCTTTACTTGAACTCCAAATAACATGCTTCAGGGTTATTTTCACCGTAGAATTCGAATTTGAAGTCAAAAATCAGTCTTCTAAGTTCTATTTTTTGTCGTTTCAGTTACGTAATTTAAGGGACAGACAGAGGCGAAGTAGGCTTTCAAAACAAAGTTGAAAATAGCTACCATTGTTGTTTGTCTCTAATATAGTGTTAACGTATTTATGTAACACAACTAAACTTGACCTTGAAGGTCAAGCTTTCTTGTGTAATATAGATAAGTTAATACATCATACGTAATTCTCTTTGTTGATCTTCTCCCCCAAGGAAGTCAACACTGAAATGATACTGAATGATCAACATCATGGTTCTCATTTCTTCCCACAGCTTTTACAAGCCCTAGAATACATTCATGGTCAGCGGATTGTTCATCGCGATGTCAAAGCCGACAATCTACTTCTCAGTCGCTCAAGACACTCAGACCACGTGACAGTAAAACTCGCTGATTTCGGCTTGGCGCGAAGGTTGCCGCATGACTCTGACGCCATCAGCTGTGACGCCAGTGGTGCGCCGTTGTTTCTTGCACCAGAGACAATTTTAGAAGATCTGATTGGTCAACCAGTTGACATGTGGGCGTGTGGTGTCATATTGTTCATTCTTCTAGCAGGGTACCCACCATTTTGGAGCAGCAATGACGAGAAATTATTGCTTTCCATTCTGCAGGGGCATTACAGTATGCCTTCGCCATATTGGGACAATGTGTCGGATCAAGCCAAAGATCTTGTTAGGCGATTAATTGTTGTGGAACCCAGTCAGAGACTCACAGCGTCTGAGGCGTTGAATCATCCGTGGATTCAAATGGCAGCGCAACAGCAGGCACCACAAAAACACGGTCAGCGGAGAAATTTCGCAGCGGTGATTTGCGGTGTTCGAGCAATGTTGAAATTCAGAAGAATGAATCTCAAAGACTCGTGCCACAGAAGAAAGTCTGAGAAAGAAGCTGTTAACTGAAGTATTTAGACTGGTCTTAATTCATCGATGCACATACAAGATTATACCATCGGCGTTAAAATAAAGGAAATTAAAACTAAAGTAAGCTGACTATTTATTTCAAATGTTTACGGGTAGACAAAGTTGTAAACAATTTGTAATTGCGACCTTTGGATAAGCCCAAACGGTAACTGTACATGCATGAAATCGATATTGTTAAGGGAAATATTCTGCAAATCCTTCGTGATTCTCTGTAGTGTAAATGTTTTGCTCATTCTTGTACCTACACCTCTCATGTTTCAGCTACAACCAGTAATAAACTTCAACAGAAATTCTTACACCTTGTCATCGAGTTATCATCGTGTTATTTTGTCACTCACACTGCTTCTTAGGCTCGTAACAACACTGTAAAATTAAGCCTCCTTGTGTGAAATTTCTTTCTCTACGAGCTATTCCCTCGCTGACTTCCTAACGAAAAAAAAGGGCAAGAAAAAAGCGAGAAACAAGCGGCGAGGCTCCGAAATTTCGTTTTACCGTATTGACTTGCTTAATTATTAAACTTCACCAGAGAGAAGTCAGCTGCTCGTAGACTGGCTGAGCTGCGCTTCGAAAGTTTCAGTTTATCAAATAACCTCTGATGGGCCAGATTATTGTTTCAGTCATTTCTGGGTTATAAATTCCGACGTGAGGCAATTATTTCTACATGTATGTCTTTGACCGTCTTTCTGTCAGTTAATTTAAGAGGCTCTTTTGAAAATGTCCAGCAGTAGTGTTCAAAAACAACCAAAAGAAAATCCCCGCTTTTCAACTGAGCTTCTCTGATGGTTTCCTGCCTAAAACCATTCATACTATACCATAGAAAAGGTCCTGTTGTTATTTTACAATTCCCCTCTCCGAAACCGCGGGGACTTCAGCAAAACAGCAAGTAGTGTAATAACAATAGTGATGAGATAAATCCAAGCAAAGAGACGATTGATAATCATGGCTGCCATTCTCCACTCCTCCCTCATGGCGTCTGCTTCTTCCTTTTTAAAGATGTTGTCTGTCAGTACAGTCATGTTTGATTGTTCTCGGCCTCTGTTTTCACGCAGTTTCACTGCAATGAAATCAAAAGAGAGAAGGAATCATTACTGTTAAATTACTGTTCTGACCTACCATGACATAAGAAAATATTTCCGAAGTAATAGAATCCTGCAGCTTAATCACCACGGATATGTCTTGCGTTACTTTATGTCCAGAACAATCACTCAAAAGGACGTTAAGAGATCATGACTCGTTGATGATAAACTTGTGTCGTTTTCAGTTCTCGTTTACCAGGCGCAAGAAAATTTGACGTGATGTTTTTAACATCCGCCTGTAATTTATCATTAGAAGACTTGCCTATCCTGAGACAAAGTAACTGCATTTACATGGCGTGCATACTGCCATGTGTTTTCACAAGGTATAAAGATCATTCCCAAGAGCCTAACCTTGGCGCCACTCCTGCACAATCTGGGCCTGTCGAACACGGCCAGCGGATGTGCTCAAACGCACCAGCCGTGCGCAGTAGTTCAGAACACAAACCTACCGTGAAGGAAACATAAAACCAATTATCGAGTCTCGCTACTAATTGTTACACACCTTTTGAATGTTATTTCTGAAAACTTATGATGTTACACAAAGACAGTGACTCCTTCAATTAATTGACGATATCTTCTATTTTTGTCAGCTATGTGCGTGACAACGTGTGAAAATTGTGAGACAGACTAGTTCTTGTTCCAATCAATCCCCCTGCTTAGCAGAAATGAAAATCAAATCAAAGTTTAGAGAGAATTTAAATTTCAAAACTAGGTTTCATTTCAACCGAACTTTCAGTTGCCTGATTGTTCACATTGCCAGGTAAAACGCTAAGGACAGTGCTCAGAAAATCAAGTTATAAAACTTGTAAATAAATTCGCTTAAAAAAAATGCTGAACGTTACTCTTGACTGAGGCAAGACCATCTAATATTACCCTGATCCAGGCGGGGATTGGAGCCGAGGAATTGTCAGGATGGTAAAAACGAAGGATGAGACACGCCATTCCCATTGCCGCTGACACCTCAATAATAGTGCAGGCGTAGTAGACAGCAATTAACGGAATAACCTTTGATGTGGCAGGTAATTTGTCCTAAAGAGAAGAATCAGATAATTACGTACAGTCGTAGACAGTCGCCCAAGAGTGTTTTGCTCATTAAGTTCTCTACTCCCTATTATGAAAACAGAGGCTTAACATACTTACCATCAACATTAACAACAAAATAGTAAACGACAGCAACACAGTGACTCCAAACGACATTCTCTCTCCAGACTCCGGCGGCAACAAAAAGACAAGTAAGGTTAGGACTGCAATCAACACGCACGGCAATATGAAGTTCATCATGTAAAACAGAGTGCGTCTGCGCAACTCCAGATGATACGTCACTTCCGGGAACTCTCCTTCGCAGCAATCGTATGTTAGAAGTTTGCGTTCTGATCTAACATCAAGCAGGATCCACTCACCATTCTCCACGTATCTGTATTATGAAGCATAAGTTTACTGTGAAAAAGAGTTCTTTGAAAACTTGGACGGCTCTCAAAATTCCCATTAGGCCTTGATGATGATGATGATGACGATGATGATGGTGATGATGATGAAAAAAATAAACTAAATCTTAATNAAAAAAAAAAAAAAAAAAACTGAAATACGTGATTAAGTTATGTACAGTGTTGATCCTTTGACGCTCAGGCCGAAAAATTCACATATATTCTGTTTTAAACGTGTGCAAGAGAAACTTCAGCTTTCATGGAAACTATCGATGGCGGGGTAAAAGCTTTGTACATGTGAAAGTGTCGCTGTACGATGTTTCGTGTTACTCTCACGAGAAAAAAACTGAGATCGACATTTGTTTGTGATACAAGTTATGCTTTAAATAAAATTGTTTAATTAAGAAATAGTTCAAGTTTGTTAGGTTAAAACATTTCAAGAGGAAATGTAGTGTTACCGGAAAAGGGCCCGCCAGTAGGAAAAAATGGTATTGCTACGTAAATACCTCTCTTCTGTGAAATTGGATTAACTATAAGTAACATCCTTATAAGCTTTTAAGGAAAAGAAAACTCCGATAACATCGCCACAGGCCTTTCAAAAGCGACGCAAACTTCTGCTTTTCTGCTCTCAATTAGTGTGTTAACCTGAGAACACAACCGCCTCTGAAAGGCAACCGTCCGGAACGATTAATGGAAGAGAGAAAACTCGACCAATGTGAATACCAGAATTTCCTGTAGTGTCTGAGACTCCAGCAGATTTAAATGATCCTTATTCACGATTTGAGGTCGTTAGTGTCGTTCTCTAATGAAATGCACAGTACGTGAACGGAAATCAATAGATGATAAAATAATCCATTCCTTGACATGTTATGTTGGGTTGAATTTGAAAACGGAGTAGGAGTGTTTTTTTTTTTTTTTAGTTCGATCGTCTATAACAATCCACACTGCTGTTGCCTTTCTTCAGAAAATCAGATTTATTAACGTTATATTAAACTGAAGCAGATAATGCCTAAATATTTGGCTGCACGGGCGGACAACGAAATAAAGATGGCACACCAGTGACCTATTGCGCCAGAATTTAGCATGTAAAACAACACGTCCCCCTTTGCTGAGACAGTAGAAAAAGATCGTGACCAAAATTTTTAGAGTTATTTTACTTACAGCAAAAATATCACGTTGCTGTTTTTGTCGTAATCAGAAACTTATTGCTTTCGCTCTGGATTTACTCGCGTGTCATATTAATTACAGGCAAGTTCTCCTTCTTTCAGCGATAAGATCTCGTGGACAAAAAAGGTTATACGCCTTTTAATAGGTATCGATATATACTGACGTCTGCAAACCAAGTCGTAAACGCAATCTAATCAGAAAAGCGAACAGTTGCAAGTTGCAGCGAGCCATAGCTAGGCAGTCACATTTGGCAAAAATATGTTCGTGCAAAATAACTACTTCCTACGTCTCGAAATACGTGTAGCGCGAAGGTCAGACTTATTTTTAAGCCTTTTCTAGTAGACGTGGTCTACAGCTCTCAAATAGTATCCCGCTGTTTAATTTGATACAAAGATTCCAAAAAAAAATTCTGCGGTTACAGTTCAAGTAATCAATCAACGAAAGAGTTGCTAAAAATAGTGTTGGCCCTCCTCGCTATCAACGCCCACGGAAATGGAAAAAATACGCTTTTGATGACGAGCTTTGATTGGCTGGTTTAAAATGACGCTTGATTCCAGAAATACACAGCTCTTGCAAGTATTTAACAACTTTCACAACTGTTTCTTTCCACAGTGAACGCAACGTTCTGCAGTAGAGTTTTCAAGATGCCGTCGCGTTATTCCAAAAGAGAATCAAGCATGTTTGAAGAGGAATACGAGATTCAGAAGCTGATAGGCGAGGGATCCTTCGCAAAGGTTTACAAATGTTTAGAAAAGGAATCCGGGAACATTTACGCCGCGAAAGAATTACAGATTGGTAAAGAAGTTTCAGATATGGAAGCCATCAGAGAGGAAATGGAGATTTGGAAAGGTTTACAGCACGAAAACGTTGTGTCCCTACACAGAACATTTACGGATAACTCATGTTTTTATCTCGTGTGTGAATATCTGGATAGCGGAAGTTTATTTGACGAGATTGTGGGACAAAAGGTATACAGCGAGGAACAAGCGCGGTCCATTGTGAAACAGGTAAGAGCTTAATTCATCAACTTCTCTTGAATTTTTTTTTTTTTTGTATTCAATTTATTACACCAGCTTGGTATTTGAACCACTAAACCCTCAACCGATTTTTATTATAAACTCATATTCAAAGCTACGCGTTTTCTCGGGGAAACGAGAGAAACCAAACCGGATTTAAGGAAATTGTCCCTTTAGAATATTTTGAATAATCAAGTTTCAACCGAATCGGAAATTACGTTTAGTTTCTTTGATATTTTGGTGTGGAGATCAGTTCTGCTTCAATTTCACGGAAATGCACAACCCTCCTTGTCTCAAGTTGACGTCACTGTCATTTGACCATATCGTGACCTTTCAATTTTCATGCTATCAACATGCTATCAAAGCAGTGAGCTTTGCGCCAGATCTACAGTAGAACAGCATCTTAATAACCTTCTATTTCTCAAGGAATTTGCTACAAAAAACCCTTTCGACGAAAACGAAGTGTTGTGAAGGTATTAATATGGCGCGGGATAGACTACGAGCAGTCTCTCTTTCGCTTGGTCCGTCGAGCGAGACCGTAAATAAACCGCGATTTTCTTTCGCGTGACACATAAGTCCAAAATTAACCAGAATAAAATAGTTAATAAGCTTTACTTGAACTCCAAATAACATGCTTCAGGGTTATTTTCACCGTAGAATTCGAATTTGAAGTCAAAAATCAGTCTTCTAAGTTCTATTTTTTGTCGTTTCAGTTACGTAATTTAAGGGACAGACAGAGGCGAAGTAGGCTTTCAAAACAAAGTTGAAAATAGCTACCATTGTTGTTTGTCTCTAATATAGTGTTAACGTATTTATGTAACACAACTAAACTTGACCTTGAAGGTCAAGCTTTCTTGTGTAATATAGATAAGTTAATACATCATACGTAATTCTCTTTGTTGATCTTCTCCCCCAAGGAAGTCAACACTGAAATGATACTGAATGATCAACATCATGGTTCTCATTTCTTCCCACAGCTTTTACAAGCCCTAGAATACATTCATGGTCAGCGGATTGTTCATCGCGATGTCAAAGCCGACAATCTACTTCTCAGTCGCTCAAGACACTCAGACCACGTGACAGTAAAACTCGCTGATTTCGGCTTGGCGCGAAGGTTGCCGCATGACTCTGACGCCATCAGCTGTGACGCCAGTGGTGCGCCGTTGTTTCTTGCACCAGAGACAATTTTAGAAGATCTGATTGGTCAACCAGTTGACATGTGGGCGTGTGGTGTCATATTGTTCATTCTTCTAGCAGGGTACCCACCATTTTGGAGCAGCAATGACGAGAAATTATTGCTTTCCATTCTGCAGGGGCATTACAGTATGCCTTCGCCATATTGGGACAATGTGTCGGATCAAGCCAAAGATCTTGTTAGGCGATTAATTGTTGTGGAACCCAGTCAGAGACTCACAGCGTCTGAGGCGTTGAATCATCCGTGGATTCAAATGGCAGCGCAACAGCAGGCACCACAAAAACACGGTCAGCGGAGAAATTTCGCAGCGGTGATTTGCGGTGTTCGAGCAATGTTGAAATTCAGAAGAATGAATCTCAAAGACTCGTGCCACAGAAGAAAGTCTGAGAAAGAAGCTGTTAACTGAAGTATTTAGACTGGTCTTAATTCATCGATGCACATACAAGATTATACCATCGGCGTTAAAATAAAGGAAATTAAAACTAAAGTAAGCTGACTATTTATTTCAAATGTTTACGGGTAGACAAAGTTGTAAACAATTTGTAATTGCGACCTTTGGATAAGCCCAAACGGTAACTGTACATGCATGAAATCGATATTGTTAAGGGAAATATTCTGCAAATCCTTCGTGATTCTCTGTAGTGTAAATGTTTTGCTCATTCTTGTACCTACACCTCTCATGTTTCAGCTACAACCAGTAATAAACTTCAACAGAAATTCTTACACCTTGTCATCGAGTTATCATCGTGTTATTTTGTCACTCACACTGCTTCTTAGGCTCGTAACAACACTGTAAAATTAAGCCTCCTTGTGTGAAATTTCTTTCTCTACGAGCTATTCCCTCGCTGACTTCCTAACGAAAAAAAAGGGCAAGAAAAAAGCGAGAAACAAGCGGCGAGGCTCCGAAATTTCGTTTTACCGTATTGACTTGCTTAATTATTAAACTTCACCAGAGAGAAGTCAGCTGCTCGTAGACTGGCTGAGCTGCGCTTCGAAAGTTTCAGTTTATCAAATAACCTCTGATGGGCCAGATTATTGTTTCAGTCATTTCTGGGTTATAAATTCCGACGTGAGGCAATTATTTCTACATGTATGTCTTTGACCGTCTTTCTGTCAGTTAATTTAAGAGGCTCTTTTGAAAATGTCCAGCAGTAGTGTTCAAAAACAACCAAAAGAAAATCCCCGCTTTTCAACTGAGCTTCTCTGATGGTTTCCTGCCTAAAACCATTCATACTATACCATAGAAAAGGTCCTGTTGTTATTTTACAATTCCCCTCTCCGAAACCGCGGGGACTTCAGCAAAACAGCAAGTAGTGTAATAACAATAGTGATGAGATAAATCCAAGCAAAGAGACGATTGATAATCATGGCTGCCATTCTCCACTCCTCCCTCATGGCGTCTGCTTCTTCCTTTTTAAAGATGTTGTCTGTCAGTACAGTCATGTTTGATTGTTCTCGGCCTCTGTTTTCACGCAGTTTCACTGCAATGAAATCAAAAGAGAGAAGGAATCATTACTGTTAAATTACTGTTCTGACCTACCATGACATAAGAAAATATTTCCGAAGTAATAGAATCCTGCAGCTTAATCACCACGGATATGTCTTGCGTTACTTTATGTCCAGAACAATCACTCAAAAGGACGTTAAGAGATCATGACTCGTTGATGATAAACTTGTGTCGTTTTCAGTTC